GCATCTGGGCAAAGGTCAAATGACTTTTCAGGTGGTTAAAGTCCTCACTGCTTTGGGCTCACTTCATTTCTCTCTGTGAGCATCTGTTTATTCTCTCTTGTAAGGGAGTTCTGTTTGGGTGTGTATTTGTAATTATCCATTGCCTTTCAGAATCTTTAGTCTTTGAACAAAAAGCAGCATTTGTCAAGCTCATTTTTAAAACCTTAGTCATTCCCTATTTCTCAAGATATCCCAGCTCTTTGAAGATATTAGTTAATTCTGTTTTGAGTCTGTAATCAGATTTGCCTTTGAAGTACTCCTGAGTCCAATAGAAACTCTCTTCAGGGCTGGGCCTTTCCCTAAGAATGGAGAGGAATCTTTCTTAGGGCAAATATGTTGCCATGCCATCCCCCACTCATCCTGAAACTGGGAAAGTTTCTCATCATTTATCCAGTGGCCTAAGGGAAATGAGCCAGGAGTTTCTGGGAGGAGCTGACAAGGGTCCATGACAAGTAAACATTCATTTGAGTCAGCAGCCAGGTTGGCAGCTGTGGCCCATCTGTTGAAGATTGAATTGCCTCCAGGGTAAGTCCTGACTAGTTTCTCACCTTAAAGAATGTCTGGGCATCCTCACAGAATGAGATGGAGTTCAGTGTGGCTGTATCTCTGTGAGTAAATACTGAGGTGATTTAGCCTTCATATTGCCCTGCTCTAGTCCCTTCTCTTCACTGCAGCCAAGTGATATTTTTAAAACAGAAATTGGACTGTGTCACTACTTTGATGAAAGCCCAGACTCCTTCCCGTGGCCTACAAGGCCTAGCAGGATCTGGCCTGAGATTTTTCTCCCTGTTTTGTTTTAAATAGCCAAAGCTCCCTCCTCTAACTACTTCTTCTCAGACAGTTTTCTCTGATATGTTATTCCTCTCCTCCTCATCTATTTTACTTGTATTTCAGGTCTCAGATAAAGCATCTCTTCTATAGAGAATCCTTCTCCAGTATGCTTAGACTAGATCAAATCCCCTAAGAAAGGGTCCCACATTCTTGGTAGAATTTACAAGATTCACTCAATGTCTTGCTAGGTTATGAGGTCCACGATGACATTTTGTTCATTAATTTGTCTCAGGGTTTAGTAGAGGGCTAATTCATGTTCACAAATAAATGGTTCTCTCCCTTCCCAACTCTATAGAGACAAAAAGGCTAGCTTCTGTAGTTTCCCTACCTTCATTCTTTACCTGGTGAATTCCTGTTCATATTGCAAGATCAAGCTTAATGATCTCCTTCTTTGAGATGTCTTTCACAGTCACCCTCTGTACTAGTCATAGTAGACTTAATGGCTTACGTAAACAAAAGCATATTCTAGCTCACACAAGATTTTCATCTTGCTTGTCTGCTGGCCTGCTATTTACATGCAGACCCAGGCTGAAAGTTACTGCGTTTCTTTGATTTCCAAGACAGGAGCAAGAAAATGTGGCAAGCCAAATGCTGGCTCTTAATCTTTCCACCTAGAAATGGTATGCCTTACTCAGATTGCATGCTCAGTCACAGAGCTGTGCTTAACTTCCAGGAGTGTAGGGAGGTACAATTGTATTATGTGCCCAGAAGGAGGAAGACTGTTTTATTTCATGAACATTAATACCAACTGACCTTCTCCAATACCTGGCTTCTCTTGGTGCTCCCAAATTCTCACTTACAATGATCTATTTTTCCAACCCCCTGTAGTCACATGAAAGACCTTGTAATCAACAATAACCAAATCATCTCCAAAATCTTAATGTCAGATGCACGACTCTGTAACTCCATCTCCTAATTTTCCATCTCATGTGCTGTACCGCCCTTACCGTAATAATGCCTTGCCTCCATCAGGACTCCTGCTGCAGTTTGGTTCCCCAAGAAGCAAACTCTGAGATGGAAACTGGCATGCAGGGAGTTTATGAGGGAGTGCTCAAGGAATGAAAACCTGTGGGAGGAGGGAAGCAGGCAGGATGAGGCAGTGGGAGAAGTTCGCGCAATCCCACTGAGTGCTCGGAACCTGGGGATAGTCCTTTAGAATTACCCCTCCTTGGGGTAAAGGAGAACCATCATTATTGTGGGTTGCCCTCAGGATGGGAGTGTGACTGTGGTTGACGCATCTCTGTTCAGCCAAGGGCAGTTTTCCTAAAAGGCTAATAGCTAGGATCTTTAGCAGGCAGTACTCCCGTTAGCTGGGGGGACTAATTGTTTTAGTTCGGAAAAGAGATCTGGGTAGTGCGATAGTGTCCACCGTGGTATCCATTCTGTTTCAGCTGTCTACCTCCCTCTTCATGTTCTCAGTCCTCTCTTTAGTAGTTGAGGTTCCTTGTCACCTCATCATTATCACCTCTTATACTCTCAATTTCCTTGTATTTCTTTTTACCCATCATATTTGCCTAAAAAAATCATCTCTCGTTATACCTAACTTTCCAATTACCTTGCACTTGTCCCAAATACTGAATGAGACTGGCAGAAACCCATGGCCATGGCTGAGTACTCTCATTCAACACAAATGACCACAGATCACAAGTGGCCTGCAGCCACCCTACTGCATGCCCTAGTAAATTCTTTCTTCTTTCCAAAATGACTAATACCTTCTCCCTTCTCTTGAAACTTCCAATACCTCCTCCCTCTATTTCTCAGGTGTTGCTTTCTCTTCTCATTTCATTGGGAAAATATAAATAAACAGAGGAGAACTACTTCATCTTCCCACCACTATGTCCAACTTTCGCCACCTCCTCCCTTATTTCCTTGTTTAATTCTTGTTGTAAATATGAGCCCTTCCATTTGGGCCCTGGAACGCGGCTGCTGTTGCTTCTTCAGGACTCTATTCCTGCAAGGATTGCTCTCTCTTCTACATCATCAATTTTCTTCACTCACGTTGGATCACTCCCAACAGCATACAAACATGCTGTGATCTTTCCTGTCTTTAAACAAGACTCTCACTTGGTACCAAGTCTCTCTAGAGCTACTACCCTGTTGTGTGTGTATGCATGTGTGTGTGTGTGTGTGTGTGTGTGTGTGTGTGTGTGTGTGTGTTTTAATGGGAAAATAACTCAAAAGGTTTGCCTTGTTTTTCTGTCTCTCCTCCCTATGTTTCACTCTTCCTTTGACTCCAGTCGGGCTTTGCTTCACTGCTTCCCTGAAACTACTACACTCAGCAGTGAACTTCTTGCCAACCCAAAGGTTGGTTCTTTCCTTATCTTATTTAGCTTCTCAGTAGCAGGTGACAAAAGTGACCATTGCTACTTTCCTGAAGCACTTTTCTTCTTGACTTTCATGATGTCTATTCTTCTGTGAAGCAAAATGCTTAAATGATGCCAGGAACCAACTTGTTACAGAATTCTAGTGCCCTGATTGCCAGAAAGATATGAATTACATCTCATGTTCCTGTGCAGTTACTATCCTATCTTAAATTGCTAAGAGGGTTCCCTCCACACTCTAGCTTGATGTAATCTTATTATATAGTTTATATATTTCTGTTGTCCTTTCGTTTTTATTATGTATTGTCTTGGATCATTTTTGGAAGCACATGTTAGTGTTCAGGTAGAACACTTTGTTGGTTGCCTGAATTATTTCATTAATTTCTGGTGTTTTGTTCTTATATGTCATAGTTATGGAAGTCTTACTAACTGTGAGTCTCCTACTAGGACCTCAATTACCCCACAATAATTTTTATTTGTAAGTTGACAGATTTATAGCACTGAAAAGAATTGGGTGTTATTTTAGTTTGTTTTATTAGGAAATAAAATAATGTACTTTACTTTTAAAATGAAGTTTCTAGTGATTCAACAGCTATTTTTATCCCATGTTTCCATACATGAAGGATATTATGACTTCAATGATTATCTTAGTAGTAAAACTCTGTATTTGACTAATTATAATTTTCAAGGTGTTTTCATGAAGTAAATCATAGTAAGAGAGAGAGATTAGTTCTGAGTTCAAATCCTGGGTATAACATGTTCTAGCAGGGTGACTTTGAGCCAGATATTTAACTTCTCTAAGCCTCAATTTTCTAGACTTTAAAATGAGTGTAGTGCTATATTTCACTCATGGAATTATATATGGACTAAATTAGATAACACCTTTAAAGATGTAAAGCAGTAAGTAGAGAACTGACCCTTAGAACAAACTGTTGGGGACCCTGAGACTCAGAGTGGTTAAATGTAAGTCACAGCCTGGAAAGTAGCAGAGGCAGAGCTAGAGCTCACATTTTCTAGCTTGAATTCCCCTACTGTGCTGATCTCTCTCCCTCTCTTTAGCTGTCACACAGAAGCAGTCTGAGCAAAATGGACATAAAACCATTTTGGAAAACAACCTCCAGAAAAGACTTAACTGTGTACTTAAAATTGTAGGTTATTTTAATTCTTACCATGAACTTCTATGAGAAAGCAGGTAATGCTCTGACTTCCATCCCAAAGACAAAAAGATCTTTTTGTTGAATCAACCCTTTGTTCTCTCGTACTGGATGGATCTCCAGGTCAAGGGATGAAAGACATTAATTTGCATTAGACAACAGCTGCTCTCTGTATGCACAGTACAACATGGGAGGAACTGTACAGCATCATTTTGTAACAGATGGATTAAAGCATGTCTTAGTAAGATACACCAGTAGAGGGGGGCTGGAGCCCCTTGATCTCTCTGATAAAAGCTACACCAGGGACAGTGGAAACCTAATAAATATTAACTGGTATCAACTCATGAGAACTCTTTGATTTTTGGACATTTAAATCAACTGTCCTCCTAGGTGAGAAATTAATAATAGTATATTCAGTCCTCATATTTCTTGGGTTCTTAAGTATTGTATCTAACCATGAATCTTTCTATACTTTTAGCTTAAGATGGGATCAAATGCACCAGCTGCATTTGCACATAAGCTATTGTGTTTAGTACATCTCACTTTTTCTCTTGGCGTCAATGGGCATTCATCTTTTCTAATTTCATTGTAAGATGGTTACACTCTGGTTTGATCATTCGACTCATGTGATATTGTTTCCTTCTTTCTCCCTCAGATATTGATGAGTGTGCAGCTAAGATGCATTACTGTCATGCCAATACAGTGTGTGTCAACCTGCCTGGGTTATATCGCTGTGACTGTGTCCCGGGATACATTCGTGTGGATGACTTCTCTTGTACAGGTGAGCATTAAGAAGCAAAGTTGGTTTTCTGACTCAACCCTTCTCTGTATCCTATCTGTGTTGTTACATTGAGCTCCAAGTGCACTAGGTACTATTTTTACCTAACTAGTTCTCCTTTTGCATATTATTTTACCCTCAGGTTTTGAGAAAAAAAGTGATGATAAAAGAAATTTATCTACATAATTTATTTTATTATTATTTTTTAGCACATTTTTATTACTTTTATTTATATTTTATTTTTATTTTTTTGAGAGGGCATCTCTCATATTTATTGATCAAATGGTTGTTAACAGTTAACAACAATAAAATTCTGTACAGGGGACTCAATGCACAATCATTAATCCACCCCAAGCCTAATTCTCATCAATCTCCGATCTTCTGAAGCACAACGAACAAGTTCTTACATGGTGAACAAATTCTTACATAGTGAATAAGTTCTTACATGGTGAACAGTACAAGGGCAGTCATCACAGAAACTTTCGGTTTTGATCACGCATTATGAACTATAAACAATCAGGTCAAATATGAATATTCGTTTGATTTTTTTTTTATACTTGATTTATATGTGAATCCCACATTTCTCCATTATTATTATTTTTATAATTATTATTATTATTATTATTATTTTTTAATAATGCTGAAGTGGTAGGTAGATGTAAGATAGAGGTAGAAAACATAGTTTAGTGCTGTAAGAAAGCAAATGTAGATGATCAGGTGTGTGCCTATAGGCTAAGTATTAATCCAAGCTAGACAAGGGCAACAAAACATCTACGGATGCAGAAGATTTCTCTCAAAACAGGGGGGGGTGAGGTTCTAAGCCTCACCTCTGTTGATCCCCAATTTCTCACCTGATGGCCCCCCTGCGACTGTGCCTGTCTTAGGTTGTTCCTCCCTTGAGGAATCTTACCCGTCTCTGGCTAACCAGTCATCTTCTGGGGCCATACAGGGAAATCTACATAATTTATTTTAACTCCCAGTATTTCTGTCAGTATGTGTGTGCATGCATGCATGGGTGTATGATTTGAAATTGAAATCTCAATTCCCTATAGTAACCCTGAGGGCCTAAGAGACATCAGTTCCAAAAATAGAAAAGTATCAAACTATTTTCCTTCTGTCATGATGAAATGTTTTTGCATATGAGAAAATGCACTCTGTTCCCATTGGGAAAGACAAGGATTAAATTTAAAGAGGGGCAGGGACTGGGCATATGCAAGCCAGTCAGGACTTTTCATTGATTATATACTGACTGTCAGTTTCCCCATTGTCTCCCTGTATCACTGGCTCTAAGCATGAAACTGGAATGCCAGGGACTGTGGTTCATGCCTTTGTGTGAACAATCTTGGCTTTGTGGAGTATTTGTTTTCAGGTTTCGGTATACTTCCAATGGTGCAGATGGAGATGTGAACAGTAAACTGGTGAAGGGTGATAGATGATTCTGAGTTTTTCTTCTCTTGGTCTAGTGTCTTTAAAGAGGAATCTGAAACCCATAAGAGAAGGGCCTCTTGAACGCAAGATATCAGTCATGCCGTACTTTTTTCTGACTCCTGAATCTTTTTCTTTGTACTAAGAACATTGGCATATAAAAACTGAATTCTTCACTCAGAATGGAATGTCCCTCTTTTCTTAATGTATTTTATTCTGGGTGACCTTTTCAGAAGTGCAAAAAGTTGCAAAAGTTAGGGAAGTATGTGTCTATGTCCAAATACCTTTGCCATTGATTTTGTATATTTATAAATAACTGTTCTTCAACTAAGGGGCTGAAGATCTCAGGTTTCTGACAGCCACAGAAGGCCAAATTTCATTTATCTACCTTTTACATATTATAACTAAAATTCCTAGAGAAAAAAGAAAGAGATTGAATAAACATAGCATGCTGAGATCTAAACATTTTAAGGGGCTAAAAAACTCTTTTGGACCTATAGACAAACACAATTTAAAAATATGTGATGTTGCAGATGCCTATTTCATTATTTCTTTGTTTTTAATAGTAAATCCAGGTCTTGACCTATTTTAACCCTTAGATTAGAAGGAACCAGTGGATATCAACCCAACATAACCACACCATATCATGCAGCTCAAACCTTAATTAAGGCCCCACTCTGTGAAAAGGCCTGTTGAAATTACATCAGAATACCACCTCTGCTCTTGTTTTTCCACTGGGGGAAAAAGGAAATGCTGGTGCTTGTTGAAAACCTTTTCAAGAGAGGTGCTCTGCCTGGTGGTTTATATATGGGACAAGATGCAAAATGTGTTATTTAAGAACTAGCTCTAGAATTATTTTTCTAAAAGAAACTGTGTTGTTTGAAGTAAAACACAAGGGTATGGGTGTCAGTGGGCACCCAGGCATTCCTCCTCTGCCCTGCCCCCCAAAAAGACGGCGTAGTTCTGCATGGAAAAATCTATACAAACACATTAGCATGCACACACACACACACACACACACACACCACTTCTTTGTTTTGTTTGCATATGTGTATTTTGTCTGAAAGAGAACACAAAAGTTAGAAAAAACAAAAGTGAAAAACAAGAGGGAGGAGAGAGGAACAAGTCAGAGAGCAGAAGGCTAGGTAGTGTGGAGGACAGGCCGCCAGTGGAAACCAGCCAGTGAAAGAAGTGGAAGGAATTTTAAGGAAAGGAGTATTTACCATGAGATATTTCTCTTGTTTGCTATACAGTATGCAGTGTAAGTCTTCTTCATGACCTTCAGCCTTTCAGCAAAGTCTACCCACCCTGAATGCTGGGTGAAACTCTCCCCATCCCATGCCAACAGGATGAAAGTTTCCTTAGTGGACAAGAGAAAGTAACCATTCCTACCCCTTCCCTGCCCTCCATCTTACGCTTAGACACACATACATCACTATCACCACAGCCTCCTCCCAGGAATTTCAGAAATTTTGATGAGTGTTTTGGATTTCCATTGGTCGTAGAATGAGGAGTAAAAAATTTTTCCTTAGAAAATCTTTCTTTGATCCCAGATTACTTCCTACCTACTGCCCTATTTTTCAGCTCGTATTCACAGCAAAACATCTCCATTTAATTGTCTGTGGTTATTGTCCTCATTTGCATTTCCTCTTCTCACATACATGTTCACCATTCCACAGAGACTACATTATCAAGGTCACCCATCAACTCCATTCTGCTGAATCTAATGCTCTGTTCTTCTGTGATCTCTCAGCGGCATTTAGAGCTGACCAGAGCTGACCACACCTCTTTTAAACACATTCTTTTCTTGACTTCTGAGATATCATATTTCCTGGTTTTCCTTCTCTCTTGCTGGCTACTCCTGCCCAATGTCCCTAGCTGTTCTTGTTAACGTTTTAAAGATTAAAGTGCTTTAGGGCTCTACTCTGCACTCTCTTCTCCTGCTCATCCACATATTGTTTTTAGATGCCTTCATTCCATCTTATGACTTTAACTGAACACCCTATGTCAGTAACTCCTAAATTTCTGTCTGGTTTCAATCTTTTTCCTGAGCTTTTGGATTACATATTCAATTTGATATGTACACATAGATGTTTACTAGGCATCTCATATTAATGTATATAAGACAGAACTTTTGATTTCTTTCTACCTCTGCAAACTTCATCCTCTTCCAGTTTTCCCCATCTCAGCAAATGCAAGCACCATCTACACAATTTTCAAGTCAAAAAAAGGTAGGGGTTATACTTAATTGCTTGCTTTCCCTTGCCCCTCCACTTTCAGTCATATACCAGTCTTGCTCACTCTGTCCTCTACACCCTGTCCTACTTCTGAGTCCACTCCTGTCCATATCCTCTACCACCAAACTACTAGACTTCTGCAGTGGTCACCACACTGGAGTCTCTGGTCCAGTCTTGCTCCATGGTAACTCACTCTTCCAATAGCAGCTAGAACAAACTTTTTAAAACAGAAATCATATAAATCTGCTTAAAACTCTCATGTAGTGTCTGATCACACAGAAAATCAAATCCATGCTCCATATTTTGATATAAAACCTCATATAGCTTTTCTCTTTTCTACCTCTTTGACTTTATCTTGTACCGTTTCCATCCATGTCCATTATGATCTGACCACTGTGCCTTTGACATTTTTTCCATTCAACAAGCTTGTTCAGCCTTAGGACCTTTGCATGTGCTGTTGCTCTTTCTTAGAAGTTTTTTTCCTGTTGCTGTAATTGTAACTGGCTCTTTTCTGTCATTCAAATCTCAGCCTAAAGGGGTCAGCTGAGAGAGGCTTTTTCTGATTAAACATAATTAACCTCCCATTTTCCCATCATATCACTTACTTTTAATTTTCTGGATATCACTTTTCACCACCTGAGGTTTTTATTATTTATGTATGATTTTTAAAAACTTACTTCTTTCTATTTGAATTTAACTTTTGTGAGCAAGGACATTTGCCCTTTTGTTCATTACTTTATCTTGGCTACTTAGAACATAGCCTAGCACAGAGCAGTGCTAACTAAGTTTTTATTAAATGAAGGCATGCATAAAACTGGCCTTGGGCTTATTATTATTATTGGTTTATAAAATATGCTAATATCTGCTGGAGAATTATTTTAATGTCAAATTATGTATGTGAAAATATTTATCAGTTACTTAGTCAGGACAGGATGTTCTGCAGTAACAAAAAGCCCCAGACATGAGTAACTTAAAATAACAAGGTTTCATTTCTTGCTCATGTAATATGTCGATCACTGATCAACAGGTGGGGTGCTGTGCTCATTGTAATTACTTTGGGATATAAACTGATGGAATACATACTATTGTGAACATTTCCAGTCACCCAATTACAGAAAAAAGCCTGGAGAGTCTTTGCATTGGCTATGAAATGTTCTTATCTGAAGTGACACACATCCCTCCCAATCACAACTCATCAATCAGAACTAGTCATCAGTCCCCAGCCACTACAAGGGAGTGAGGAAATTAAGTCCTACTTTGTGCCTTGAAAGGTAGAGAACAGAAATTTTTCACGAATGGTGTTAATTCTTTTAATAGATTGTCAACAAATTTTGTTTCCTT